TTAATCAGCAGGTGCTGAAAATAGAAGAAACAGAGAAAGGGGAAAGAAAGGAAGAAAGGGAGAAGTTAAGGATGTGAATAGAGAAAATTCAAAAGAGAATACAATCTGAGATATTTGATTAATTTCTAGATAACGTTTACAAATCCTCATCCACAGAATACATTTCATCAATAATCAGCAATCATTGCTTCAGTCAATTCTACTCTCTGACTAACAAAGCCTACTCAGCATTCTAGCTGATTAAAGCTGGCACAACTAACCTGAATTCTACTTTTATCACTCTCATTCCTAAGAAGAGGGACACCAAAGAATTTAAAGATTTTCGACTGATTAGCTTGGTTGGATGCATGTACAAACTCATTGCCAAGGTTTTGGCTAAGAGACTATCTATGGTGCTTGGAGATATTATTGGGGATTGTCAACATGCCTTTGTTGGAGGGAAACAAATTATGGATGTTATTATGACAGCAAATGAAACCGTGCATGACTTATTGAATAACAAAAAAGATGGTTTAGTTTGTAAACTCAATATGGAGAAGACATATGATCATGTCAATTGGAATTTTGTGGATTACATGCTCTCTAGAATGGGTTTTGGGGCTAAATGGAGGAAATGGATTCTTTCATGTATCACCACCACTTCGTTTGCTATGTTGGTTAATCAAGGCCCTTCAAACTTCTTCAACGCCTCAAGAGGATTGAGGTAAGGTAATCCATTATCTCCCCTTCTATTTATTATTGTTATGGAAGCCCTAAATGGGTTGTTAGGAAGTGCAAATGCGCTTCACTTGATGAGCGGTGTCTCTGTTGGTGGACTGGGTAATTCTATGGAGATATCCCACTTATATTTTGCCGATGACACACTACTTTTCTGCAAACCAGAGTTGAGGAATCTATTACACTTGCATTGTATTCTCGTGTTTCCAAGCTGTTTCAGGGCTTAAGATCAACCTCAACAAATCAGAAATGGCCAGAATTGGGGATGAGGGCAGTGTGGACATGTTTGCCAATGTGTTGGGCTGCAAGGTAACCAAGTTCCCTTTTAAATATCTTGGGGTACTGTTGGGAGCAAAATACAAGGACAAAATATCTTGGGATCTGGTGATTGATTTGTTTGAAAGACGCTTGTCGGGTGGAAGAGAAATTTCCTATCAAAAGGGGGCAGGTATACTTTATTAAAAAACAACTTGGCAAATCTTCCAATATGTTATCTATCGATTATCACAATTTCGGTAAGTGCGGCCAAGAGGCTTGAAGCCTTGCAAAACAAGTTTCTTTGGGGGCGATGAAGATAGTGTTTGTAAATTTCATTTGGTTAAATGGAATGACATTAAAAAACCGATTGATTTTGGTGGGCTTGCCATCAAATCTATGGTTATGATGAGCGAAGAGCTTAAAGGGAAGTGGTTATGGAGGTTCTTAGGGGAAGAGGATAGATTAGGGAGAAAAATTATTTGCTCCTGATGGGGAGATCATAAGGTAAAAAATCATTAAGGCAGAATTAGGACTCCCCATGGAAGAGGTTTATGGAGGAATATATTAATGCAATGACCTAATTTTCAGCAATGCTTAACGTGGAATCTCGGTAGAGGCAACAAGATCAAGTTTTGGTCAGATGTTTGGATAGGTAAAGGGAACCTTATGGGGTGTTACCCCAGAATTTACTCTATTGCTCAAGATAAAAACATGACAGTTGAGGAAGCATACCAAATCATCAATGGAGAAACTGTTTGGGTGGTTGAGGTCACTAGAAACTTAAATGATTGGGAGATTAGTGAATATGAAAAGCTTCTGAAGACACTTGAGGCACAACAGTGAAATTGGGCAGTGATCAGGCTGTCTGGAAATGGGAAAAGAGAGGGGACTTTTCTGTTTCAATCTTATTACAAATTTCTGTGCCATTGGGAGAGAAATAGCAGCTCCGATTTTCTGGCTATGCAAATTTGGAAAACCAAGGCTCCTCCATGTATAACCTTTTTTGCTTGGGAGACATCTTTAGAGAAGATCTTAACCATTGATAAACTCAGAAGAAGGGGACTGTTTTTGGTAAATGGATCCTACAGTTGTCTTCAAACGGAGGAGACGTGTAATCATCTATTGTTGTGGTGTCCTATGACTTACAATCTACAGTGTATGGTGTATGGACTCTTAGGGATTGAGTGTGTGATGGCTGGGTCAGTTAGTAAGGAAATTAGGGCTTGGGATTGTTTATATGTAAAGGGCAATATTGTTAACCCAATTCCATTGACTGTTTTTTGGATTATTTGGAAAGAAATGAATTCTAGAGCTTTTGAGGGTGTTGAAAGTAGTATGTACAAAATAAGGGAGTAGGTGGATTCATTATTTTGAATCTATTTTATTAGGGTATGACATTATTAGTGATGAGAATTTTGGGAATATCATAGATACGCTAACATTTCTATGAAATCTATGTACATGGGTGGTACCTTTTTTTTTTTGGGTATCATGCTAATATATACTTCATATTTTATTTCAAAAAAATAAAGCTGGCACAATAACTAGTACTAAAGCAAGGAAATTAACAAGCAACAAATCCCCAATCTTAACAGCAACAATATAAACGGGAAATTATAACGAAGTCATGATTAAAGAAAACTGAATTCTGATCTTCTGAAGGTCCTATTCTTTTCTATCCTCTCTTTCTAAATTTTAATTGAGTGGGGATGACATAGCCGACTAACCTTCCTTCATGCCCATTTCTCTATTGAGCTATCACCTTTTATCTTCAATCTCTTAAATAAGCACGTAAATTTGAGTTTCTACCTATCTGCTACCAGTTTGGTCAACGGGAATTATGGTAAAGGAGTCTCACCACAACTTAAATATATCTTGGATAAGCCATCTACAGCATTATCAGCAGTAAATGGCTTCCTCCTCAGCCCTATCCCAGAACCTAACCCGAATTCCTTCTTGAGGTAGTAGCGCAATTCCCCTTAAAATCTCGGTTTCGTTCATTTAAAGAAAGAGGGGAGAAAATTAATAAACAAATGATTAGATACGGAGAATAACATTCAAGCAAACAACCAAACACGTTAATTGAATTCAACCACTGATCTACTGCCAAATGAAAATTCAAATTGTCAGCAGGGGCATGCAGTCTGGAAAGTTAGTTGTGGACATGACGATGAAAAAGAAGAGAGAGAGAGAGAGAGAGAGAGAGAGAGAGATGACAGACCTCGAGTTGTAGATAGTAGAGATGGTGAGTGTGGAGAAGACGTCGTCTTCTTCAAGGTTCGGGGCTTGAGGGATTGCCCTAAACCCAAAAACGGAGCAACGATTGGACCAGTCCTTATCTTGTTAACAAGAATACTAGTGGGAAATATGAATTATGAATTTCCATTTTCCATTTTCGACGCCTTTGTTCATTTCTTTTCTTGGTTTTGTTTTTTTTTTTTTGGTTAATGAATTAATTTGATTGACAGAAATACCCTTATCCCGTGCGTAGGTGCTTCTGGGTTTTTGGTGACGCACACTCTCGGCCAGTTTTTCAGCTTGCATCTCCCATTAATCACTCCTCTTCTTCTCTCTGCTGCACCTTTTTTAAAATCACAAATTATTATATTTATTATTACATTATTTAATTTAAATTAATAAAAATATCAAATATATTTTTATTATTATTAATTAAAATGTTCAAATATATACTAAATTATTTTAAACTTCAAATAAAAAATAAAAGAGAATTAAACATTAAAACAAATAAACAATGCCAAAAATCAACATTAAATACTAATATCAAATTTTAAAAATTAATTTGAATTTACCCAATTAAAAAAAAAAGTTTTTGTTACCTAAAACATATATATATATATATTTAATAGAACTCAGAATGGTCATAATTATATCATTTTAATTTAATTCTCTTAGACCTAAAACAAAACTTTCAATTGTATCTTCTCAACAATGAAAGTCTGACGCTTCCCTTATTAGCATGCTGATTTTCTTTTCTTTTCTTTTTTAATGTAAAAGCTGCTCACGGTAGCATTTTGAATTATCATTACACTTACCTTTCCAACTAATTTTACCCCCCAAAATTAACAAATTGCAGATCTTTGAATTGTGTAAAAAAAAAAAAAAACCAAACGTGTTCTCTTTACTTAATTCTTTTATACAGCCAAAACTCTGCAAGTGACTAACTTTCTTACATGGTATTGTGTCCCCCAACTTCTTCCGCTACTGTGTCAAGAGATGTGGTTCTGCCCCATGTAGTGCCAAAGTCAATGGTACGTTATAGCATATAGTCTCAATATGTAACCACACTCGAGGCTCCTCCCCTACTGCTGCCGCTGACACAGCTAGACATTCTTTCCTTGATCGGCATCAAAAGTGGAGAGCAAGTTAAATGGATCTCCCCTGGGTCATAAGCAATGGAATCTAAGCTGAAGTATATAACTCTTATTTAAAGGT